CTCCGCCTTCCCCGGAGCGGCCGGGGCCGCTGCAGCCGAACAGCAGCTGAGAAACAAGGTGCTGCCTGCCCTCCCGGGCAGCCTCCCAGGGAGCAAACCCATCCTCCAGTTTGGGTTACTTATTAATTCTAATCTCCAATATTTGCTGTTTCCTCTGGCAGTAAGTAAACCCTGGGGCCTCTTTCCTGCCCCCCTACCCCCCGCCCCAGGTCCCAAATTGCTCTGACTTCTGAAAGCACAGCGCTCCCCTGCTGCAGAAGGGCCTGGCGTTGGTTCCCTCTTTCTCTGCCACGAGTCCCGTGCAGCCCCGGTCGCTGCTGCGGGTGCCGCCGGCGGTGGGGTGTCCCCTAGGGATTTGATCTTCGAATAAGAGGACTAAACCGGTTGTGAGAGCTCGCTGTGTGGAGCAGGGGCAGCGGCGGGGGTCTGCACCGACACAGCCTGCAAGCATAGCGTTCCTCCTCGCTCAGGTGTCTTCTGTCTCCGACGTAAGACACGAAGCTCCCGAAGGGGCTCGTCCATCTGACGGCGTTGGTGTCCGCGCCGCTTGCCTGAGCGTCTGTTTATTTTGGGTGGTTTGGCTTTCGAGACGAGCGGCTGCTGTTCCAGGTGATGACACCGGGCGCTGGATCAGTTGTGTGTATTTCCAGCACCGGCAGCTGCCCGCGCTCCTGCTGATTGCTGGTTTGAGATCATTTTTTCCATATCTTTAAGAATTTTTTTTCCCCCCATGCTGCTACATAAAAGTGAGCAGCAAGAATGATGAAACTGTACTTGATGTTCACCCAAAAGAACAAACTAAATGGGAGGCGGTGGGTGTTTTGTTTGTCCCTACCGCTCTTTTCACAGCACAAGATTTCAGGGGTTAACACTCGGAGAGAAGGGGGAAGTCAGCACGGCTGACTCACTTGGGTTTTTTGTGCCTGTGCAGAAAAGCTTGCTTGGGGAACTGAAGTTCTTGTGTTATTTTTGCCATATGTTCTCTCTTCTCTGAAAGCAGTAAATAACCGAAGTACTTAAATAGCACTTGCAGTAATTGTGCCATGGGAGATAGGAGAATGAGAATGACTTCCTCAGCGAAACTCACGTGCTCTGGGTAACAGAATAGAAACGAATGATTCAGCGCCATGCGATGAGCCTTCCGGGGTGATCATCCCCGTTTGCTGCTGCTGGGGAGCTAACGGGCGTCTGGAGCGCGGAGGAGAAACGCGAGCGGTGTTTGCTGTTAGGGTGTGTGCACCTGGCAAAATCCACAGCGCGCTCGTGACTGCGCGGTGCCCGAGCCTGTCCCCAGCCTCTCCGGGACAGCTCGTGCTGCCCAGGCCCAGCTGCGGGCGCTGGCTGTTTGCCTTCAGGTGTTGGGTTTGGGTGCTAAAAGGAGGAACAATTTGGGGGATTTGGGGTATGTTGGGCTGTCGGTCTGCCTTCGTGGTCACCATTGCAAAGAATCCCTTGTTCTGTACAGTCTGGGGGAGCTCTCGTGAAAGTGTTCTCAGTACATTTCACAGCAAACTCCCTGGATTAATGCGCTCAAGTGTCGCTTTAAAGAGTGCTGGGGCCAGGCCAGCTTGGACTCTGAGAGCCCCTCTGCCTCCTGGGCCACGCTCTCATCATCTCTTTTCTGCTAACCCATGTATCCATTAATTCAGGCAGAACACTTTGTGTTACTCCTTTGCGCATAAGGCCTGGCTGCTGTAAAAATAACTGATCTTGTGTTTCAGAAGCGCTTGGTTTAGGTCCTTTTGTCGAAAATGTGCAACATATGCAGCCCGCTGAAGAAAGCCTGAGATTTCCTGCAAAACAGCAAATGTGAAGAATCAGAAGAAAGAAGCAAATCAAGTCTGTCATGCAAAACCTCTGACTAATTTCAGAGAAGAATTGAGGACTGTAGTCTCTGAAGTCATCCCTTTGGCTGTAGGCAGCGCTGGGGATGTGAGTGATGGAAAAAGGGCTCGGTGCCAGAGCTAGAAACCCGCAGCAGCAGCGCTGGGTGACTGAAGGCTTTTGAAAAGGTCGTATTCCACAGCTCCGGTACATGGAGTTATGTGCCTCTAACAGACAAATTTATTGACCTGGAAAGAGTAGAACACTGGCTTTTCCAGTTGTCAGGCCCTTGTAGATCAGCTTTTTCGTCAACACCTTTACTCTGCTTTATTACCTGTGTGCAAATACACAAGATTTTCATCCCAGGTTTTTTCCAGCATGCACAGCGCTGAGATGAAGTTCTTGGGCAGGTTGCTCTTGAGCCTCCCAAAGTGTTGGAGTCACATACTAAAATGCAGCTTGGCTAGAAGGAGCACATCCAAGGAGGACAGCCAGTCACGTATTACGCTCTAAGGCATCCTCCCTCTAATCCCGGTAGCAGGGGAGCGGCACAGCCCGCCGTGGGGCTGACGTGAGCGAGCAGAGTTCCTCCTTGGTTTGGTGCCAGCAATCGGAGGAGTTGATTTTCTTTTTTCAGCTACCTTCACAGGGTGTTCTGGGATCCCCTCTGGGAGGGATGGCGAAACCAAGGAATGCCCTGTCCTCTGCCAGCACAGGCAGTAGCTGTTTTTCTTACAGCAATTGGCAGTGGTAAAAAAAAAAAAAAATCAAATCAACAAACAGTGTGAAGAAGCGCAGAGGAGTGTGTGAGAGGTGATAGCATAGTCTGTGCTCAGTGTTCCCTTTGTGCCTGTCCTGGCTCCTCGCCCACTTGCCGAGGGCACACACGTGCAGTAGTGCCTGGGGAGTCCCAGCAGCTTCATCTGTCACGCGCCGAGGTGCTCGTGGTGCCTTTTGCAGCAGGAGCCGCCTCCGGCGCTGCTGGCTCCTTCGGTGGGGATGGGATGGCTCTTGGAGCAGCGCAGCTCACGGCGCCTGTGCTCCGTCGGGGAGCAGGAAAGGAGCGAGGTGTTCTGCTGGACACCTCTTCAAACCTGGTGTTTCATCCTGGTGAAAATACTCGATGAGCCAAATTCTCATCCAGACTTTGTAAGTCACACAGTGAGGCCCTGGGGTGTTGAAGCCATTGTATAACCATGGCTTCAGGGGAGGAGAGCAGTTCCCGTGGGGTGTAGCCTTTCATACTAAACACTCTCCCTTACTACAGGAGGAGAACTGCTCTTAACTCAGCTTTACGTGCGTGAAGGAACCCATTTATGGCCTCGGGCTGTGCCTGTTGACAGCCGAGGCTGGGTGTCCTGCTCCAGCTGTCTGGAGGGTGTTTGCTTTTGTAAGCTCTGGGCATGTGACAGTCAGAGGAACGTGAACCAGGCGTGGAAGCTCTTGTCCGCCTGAACTGTGCTCTTAATACTCGGTACATGAGCTGCAGTTCTAGGAAGCCCCGACCTCGCCTCTGTGAACCTCCCAGGAATTTAACGCTCAACTCGCAGCCCAATCGCCTGCCATCTCGGATGCAGCCAACTGCTAGAGCGCAGTTCTGAACTGGGTTTCATCTCCCCTCGGATCGAGTGAAGCAACTCAAATTCAAAATCTTTTTGTGAAGAGGTTTCCAGCGTTTTGGGAGCTCGTTAGCAGAACTTTTCTTGAAACACGATACCCAGCAATGTTATTTCATAGCCACGCTTCAAAATAAAGTGAAGTGAATGTTCCCAGACAGATGTTAATGGGAGCTTGTTTCCCTGCACGTGTGTATCTTTAGTCAAAGCTTTTCGGGGAGCATGTGGGGAGAAGCTGCCTTTCCCTCTTGCTGGAGAGGAGCAGCGAGGGCCCGATCTGCAGAGGAGGTTTGCAGGCCGCCTCTTTGGGGAATTAAAAACTGATTTTCAGTACTTTCCGGGTTAAGGCTACAGTCTGTTTGGAGGGATCCCTTTTCTGTGAGTGTTTTTTGAGCTTCTTCCAATGCAATTCTTTTAGAAGGAACGGGCTGTTCAGTCCAGTGGTATTCCTAGAAATCCGTGCCCAGAGCTGAGCTCTGCTCCCGCTGAGGCTGGCTGAACGCGCTGGAGCTGGCTTGTTCCACGTCAGGGCAGGGAGGATGTGGCCTGGTTAACCATTAAAGCAGACTGGCATTAACAGCTCCCTGTATTGGAGCCCTTTGAAGTGTGTGTGTATCCGTGCTGGACAGCCAGCACCCATACACAGAAGCAACTGCCTGCAGGGATTTCTGCTGGGTGACGGCTGGTGACATTCGGAGGCAGTGCCACGCGTTGTTCCCTGATGTCTGCATGCCTGTGTCTACCCGTAGCTCTCGCTTAGAAAGGCCCGTTGTGTTTATGAGCTGAAATAAAATCCACTTTACTGTTTCTTCGGGTTTTGCTGTGACTTTGAGTGAGATCCAGCCCCTTCCACCTATCGCACGCGGCATCGGTCTGGGCTTCGGAGTCTTGTTCTCTCTGTGCACCAGACCAGCAGCGTTGGCTGTCACTTGGGTGCCTGACTCTTCCATACCTTTTTTTTTTTTTTTTTTGGCAGATACAGTGTTAATTGTATCTGGCTTTCTTGTAGGTAGCACAGAATGAACAGGGTAAGTGCTAAATAACAGGCATTGTTTGAAATTACTCCTGTGTTACAAATCTAGCTATGAAGATGGCCCAGCTGTATTTCATCCATTAAAATGCTAAAAAACTGACAGTGTTGTTTTCTCCTTCCAGGTACCAGGATTATTTATGATCGTAAATTTTTGATGGAGTGCCGCAATTCTCCGCTTGCCAAAACACCACCTTCTGACCTTCCGGACATTCCAGGTGTTACAAGCCCCAGTGTGGAGGAGTTGAAGATTGAGAACAACCATGTCCAAAACTGTGAGGAGAAAGTGAGCGCAGGTAAGAGCACGCCAAGCTGCTGGTTCCTAGAAATACCCAAGCTTACCCGTGGACTGGAGCCAGGAGATCCCCATGAGATATAGTCAATACTCGGATAACTTCTTGCAAAATCAAAATGTGCCTGATGTTACGGGGTAATTGGGCTCTCCTCGTTATGAGGTTCTGCTGTGGCTCCCAGCATTGTGTTTGTTTTTTCAATTAGTTGAATGTAATTTGTCACGATCATTTTATTCTCACTAATTTAGCACTGGGGAAACTGCTGTTGGGTGAACAGTCCTGTGGTGAGAGAACGGGCGCAGCTGTGGCTGCCTCTCTATCCTGCACCATTTTGCAGCTGCTTTGCATTTTTTAAGATCAGATTACAATTCAGAGCAGGATTTGCTTGGGGTTTTTAATATCAGCCTGAGTTGTCAATTCCTTCTGCCTTTTTTTTATTTTGTTGTTGTTGTTGACACCAAGGTGTCTGGTGTACAAGCGAGCTTGATTCCTGTAGCCAGGCTGTAACACCTGACTCGCATAGATCGATGATCCGGTGTCCATTGCCCTCTGTTGGGGGTTCATTTTTTTTAGGTGTGGTAGGGGTTGGTCCACAGGAGAACAGAGGTCGCTGGCCACTGTGCACATCAACACGTAACGAAAGGCACTGCAGTAGCAAAATGAGCAAGTGCTGCTCTTGAACAGCTTTATTTTTTTTTTTTAAAGCTATGTGAGATTACTTCTTGAAGCAACCTGAAACTCCCAAGTACGATTATTTATCTTCTCTCTAAAAATAAAGATCTGAACGCTTGTTAGTTGGCTTCCATGCTCACTCTAAGCAAAATCTTTCTGGAGCCAATGTTGCTTCATGTTTTTATTACCCACTGTTGTGACCTTTAGCGGCTCACTGGATTCCCTGGCAGACTGAGACATGGGCTGCCTGCTGGATGCCAGCTTGGTTGCGACTCTTCCAAGGAAGCCCTGTCCTCAGGAATAGATGATCACCGCTCCCGTGGGCATCCTGTCAGGCTGTGTGAGCTGTGGTAACAGCCGCACAGAGGAGAGGTTGTGAAATGTGCATTCGTGGCTTTGGTAACGGGAGTTTATACCGGTGATTGTCAACAACGTTATTCCTTACGTTCCTTCTTACAAGGAAATCCAGGGGTAGAAATAAATTATTTAAAGGGCGTCTTCTCTACTTCTGCTCTCGTCTGTCCGTGACTGAGGTCCCCTCTGTGGACAGAGCTTACATTTTGCTTGTACAAGATGGTTTTCATACCAAACTTGACATCCAAATGCAGCTTTTAAGTCCAAACTGTCACATTTCCGAAGCACATCTGATGGTTGTTCCTTCAGTAAAATATTTGGTATTTAATGTGAAACTTTGAGAACTCATTTGTGGTTTGTTTTGTGTGTGTTTTTTTTTTTTTTTTGTCCCCCTCAGCAGGTGAGGAAGAGCAGTTTGACATGGACATCTAGAGCACGTGCCCTGAGAGTGCTTGTCCAGTGAAGAACCAGGACCTTGTCTTGAGGATTCCCACCAGCCAGGCTTAAAAGTAGCCCATGCCTTGAGTGCCTTCCTGCTTCCCGGGAAAGGCGGTTTCTTCCCTTCCGAGAACAGAGCGCGTCCTGTTGCAAGGACAGAGTCTCAGCCTCTCCGTGTGGGTGCGGATACACGCGCAGCCCCTGATGATGATGGGCCTTGGAGTGCCGGAGGAGACACTCTCAATGATTGTTTTTGTTTCCAGTTTTACGCTTTTGTTAATCATTTTAATATTGTAAAAGTTACAGAAATGCAATATAAGGGAGAAATAAAAATCATTTGGAGTCTCCTGGTATGGAGATTAATGCAATAAATGTGGCTTCTGTCCTTTAGTTGTTCTAGCAAGAAACTACCACCTTGTCAGAGAAGAATCCCTCAGGGGGTCCTGTGTACAACCTCGAGGTAAACACCTTGCTCTTGGGGTTCCCCTGAAAGGCAAAGGCGGAGATGCCTTAAGCCCTCTTGGCACAACATGTGCGTGTCCCCCACGCGGCACCCGCTCGCTGCAGGACGTTTTGGTCTGCTCGGGAGCCACTTCCAGAAATAGTTTGCAGAAGCTGTGTGCTCTCTGTTTCCAGATGGTTCTTTCACAAGGCAGTGGCACAGGTGCCTCCTGTTCTTACCCCCCCGGCCCTGATGAGGGGCAGGGCCCAGCCAGGCTGCAGCTGGAAGCAGCTGAAATTGGTTCAGGAGGAGGCATCTGTAGCTGAGTGCTGGGGAGAGGGTCCCCGACTCTGAGCTGCCTTCTCCTGCCCTGCCAGGGAAAAACCTGAGCCTCCTGCTTCTGAGCTGCAATTCCCACTTCCCAAAACAGCGGAGCTCTGCCAGCGTGCAAGTGAGTGCTTATCTCTGTTTTCTGCTGGTTTTTATTTCTATTTTTTTATCCATGCTGAAACTTTCATGCTTCTTTACCCTTGTTTCTGCTCAAAACGGGGTGGGCGGGGATGGAGACTTCACCCTGGCCTTTGGAAAAGAGGGGGTTTAACTGGTAGGTTAGAAATGAGTCTTTCTGGGTTTGAGAGGGAAACTTTCATCCGAGAAAGTAATTTTTACTGTGGCAACATTCAACCAGAGAAAATATCCACACTTCTAGTCTGCAGTTTAACAAATAGGTATTGCAGAGTGGTCTTGTGCCGTGTCACTGCTCTGGAGGTGCTGCTGGTGGTGGCTGAGCCCTCTTGAAGGAGGAGAATGCATATTTGGACATGGCCTGAGCCTTAGACTTCCTAAAGGATGATGAGTGGCTGTTCAAATCAGTCTTGGTAGATAGCATTTAAATATCTGCTAATTAAGCTAAATCGTGGCATTATGATATGCAAGCCCTTAATAATGAGTAACAGAAGAAGCAGAGACAAAGCAATTGCCGCAGATAAACTTGCATTTTTTTAAGATAAGATTAAGTGTTTCTCTGAAATCTTAATGGGAACAGATTCAAATTTATTGCCCTCAGGTGTCCCTTTATCAGTACTGCAGCTCAGTACCGGGCGCTGGGGTTTGTGTTCAGAGAGGAGCTGCTGGAGCATACGCTGTGCCCTGCAGCCACCTCTTGCTAAATTTTCAGTGTTTTCCGATGGGGATGGCCCTGCTCTGTGGCTGTGTCGCTGGTGACATTGGGCAGCGATTCAGGGCCACGCGTCCGCCCTCCTGCTCCGGTCACCGCACATCGCAGCAACCTCCAGCCTTGGTTTTGGGGGAGGCAGCAGCAGACTTGGTGCTGAGAAAACGTGCCGTGTTGATAATTTGTCCAAAGCCGGTTGCTTCGGGGTAGACTAAAACAGCCACGGTGGGCTTGTGGGGTGTTTGCAATAATTAAGCCTCCGCACTCTGGGCTGAAGCTTGTTTTCCTGCTCTGTCCTGACCACAGTGATGGTAATCGTTGCTCGAGCATGGGTTTCAGACGGAAAGAGTTGTGCTGGTGTAACCCTTGGCAAAAGGCTTCACTGGAGAAAGAGCTCTATGCACAGGATGGGGTTTACCCCCTTAACCTTCCCAAAATACGCTTCCACAATTCCACGCTCCCCGGGCCGTGCCCTGTGCTCGTCCTCCTTGCAAAGCAGCCGTGAGATCTGGCACTCGCCGTGAGATCTGGCACTCGCCGTGAGATCTGGCACTCGCCCTGCGCCCGCTGCCTTCCCCGGGCAGCGTCCCCCCGCCGTACCGGGGCGAGGTTTGGGTGGGGGACGCGGTGCTGGTGACCCCGGCTGACCCAGCGCTGTCCTGGGCCCCCGCCACGGTGCATCCGAGCTAAGGGCTGTGCATCCAGGCGGCTCTCTGGGGAGAAACAAGCTGATTTTGGCCTTTCTGCTTTTTTTTTTTTTGCTGTGAGTTTCTGACCCATGGTGGCCCGGATGGGAACAGGAGCCTCACGGTGTTGGGTTTTTATGTTGGTATGAAAGTGATGGCATGGGGTTTTTTTTTTTTTGAGTGAGTGTCAACTGTTGCAAGCAATGCTTTTAAATTCTGTTCCCTCCCACCCCCGTACCAGAGGGTAACAAGTGTTTAGGTGTTAAGTATTTTGTCCATGCCCGCGACAGCTTTGCATCGGTATCTGCGTGCTTATGTAGATCTGGGGGGAGCATCAAAGCGCCAGGTGCCTCCGACAGCGATCCATAGCCGATAATTCGGAGCGAGGGAGAGCACCCTGCGAAGCACCCGGCCAGGTGCGAGAGGGGGTCCGGGAGGCTCGGGGCTCCTGCTGGCTTCCCGGTGTGGGGCCCTGGGGCCATGGGCACGTCAGCCCCGTCGCTGGGGGCAGAGCGAGTCGCTACCAAAGCTGTGAACGCGCGATGCGGTGACGTGGCACTTGTGTGCGTTTGCTCCAGTGCAATTTGTCCCAAGCCCACGCCTTGAATTTCTCCTCCGCCTGTGGCCTGGGACTGTGTGGTCTCAGCATCCCCTGCTGCGGTCCACCTCCCTCCCATACACCCCCGGCCAGTGCTGCATCCTTCAGCCGGCCGTTTTTGGATCTGTCTCCTGTGTGCATTCGTGTTTCTAGCACTCCAAGCTTGGCTAAGCCGTGTAAGGAGCAGCTCAGCGTTTCCCGAGCAGATCCCCGCTTGAGCGGGGTTTGTTCCTTGCCCAGCACTTGCACCGGAGGGCTGGGGAGCTGCTGCCTGCCTGCCCTTGCACGCACGGCAGGAGGGGAGGCAGCCGTGGGTGGCTGCCTCGCACAGCTGGGATGCTCCGGGGAGGTCTGGGGGACAAGTGTTGGCTTTGTCATTGCATTTTCTGTCCCTGCCCCTTTTTGTCTCCAGCAGGGCAGAGCAGCACGGCCAGTGTGCCTGCGTCCTGCTCCATGTCCTGGTCACGGGACGAACAATACCTGCCTGACCTTAGTGCCTGAATCCACGTTTGTACAAATATCGCCCCGGGCCTTTGCTGAGCCCTTCGGTCTGTTTGCTCTCCCTCACCCTTTCCTCGTCCGTCCAAAGCAAACCGTGCCTGTCTTCCCTCCCTGAGCGTGCCGTTCCTCCGGGGCGCGGGCAGCAGCTCGCACACAGGCAGATGGTGGCTGCGACTCGCTGCCATCGCCG